AGCGTTCGTAGTTTTCAAGTAGTACTACGTTTTCTCTCAAAATCGACTGTATTTACAAAATCGCGAATTTCTCGAAAACTAAGAGCGATGGAGCAATTTCACTTTCAAATTCGTATTTAGGACGAGGAACCTTATAAGAATCACCTAGTAGATATCGCGGAATTTGAAAAAAAGTTTAAATTTGTTAGACAGTGTTATTGAGACTGCATCCCTATGAATCGATTATCGATTGAACGCCGATGTCCGTCGAGACATACTTGAGAAATATACTCTTTGCAGAGCTGCTGTCCCATTATTCCGTCCGAGGAGTTCAAGCCGGTACCATACATAAACATTAAGGCAACAGGATCAGTCGAATTCGACTTTTACGTCTCGCACAAACTGGTACTCATCGACAATTCCGAGGTGAGCTGATCAAACTTTTCATGAAACAGGTTTTATCGTTTGATAACCCATTTATTACATAGTTTTAATTAAAGCGTTTTCAATATTAATTTAAGACTCCAGACTGTTAGATACAAAATATATATTTTGAGATCGTATCGTCATTCTTACACCAAAAAAAAAGAGGGTATGTTGGAAAATAGAAGACTGATACAAACAGAATTTAATGTTTCTTCATACGTTACTTTTCAATTATTTAATTTAAGGGGAGCACTACTAGCTGTTTTTTGTACCCAATCCTTTTTAAGGTTGTTCTGCAAAGTCTAAAGTACAAAACAGCGAAGAGTATCAATAAAAATTAAAAAACAAAAAAAAAACAAGACAACTTTAAAAAGAATGTTTGTTGTGTTTTTCATACTTTTTTTTTTTTTATTTTCTTATCCGAACACAATTTTGACAAATCGCCCTTCATTGTACTTTAGATAAGGTGATTCTGCGTCAAACAAAAAAGTCTGGACTCGATAGGTCATCTGTATCCTGAGTAATTACTATCGAAAGACCAAAAAGTACCATTTTTCAGGAAACGCAAAAAATAACAAAAAGCTTCGTATTCCTTGCTCGTTTCATAAAAACTGGAATTCAAATTATAAAAATTACGCAATGAACCCACAAGAGAACTCAACTTTTCATTCATCATCTATTATAAAAACATTTGCAATGTCCTATCTATGCAAACGGTGAAAAATACACCGATTCGTTTGTTTGTTTTATTTCAGAAGCCTGCCATGGAACAACAGGTAACGATTTTACGGTTCACGGAATGGACCGCCGGCAGAAATCAAAATCCACCGTCAACGATGACGTTGGTAACGCTGTGGCAAGCCACCGAGAGAATTTCCAGGGGAGACGGACCGACCGTTGTCCTCTGCCAGTAAGGATACGTTGAATTTTCAAAAATATCTTCGTATTAATCAGACAGTTAACGCGAAGTACGTTAAAGTGTTTCTGTTTCCAATTAGCGACGGTGTAACCGGCTGTGGACTTTACCTAGCCTTAAGTTTTCTTTTGGAGAGAATGGCCGTGGAACGTGAATGCGACGTTTGCTTGGCGATTCGCGCGGTTAGGAGATCAAGGCCCGATTTTGTTCAATCTTTGGTAAATTTTTATTTCGTTGCTGTAATTACTGCTATTATTACAATTAATGGAAAATCCCTCGGATACGAATAAAATAAATAATAGAAGAAATTGGGGTTCATTAGATCGTTTTGGGTAAAACAGATTACCGTGACTTCATTTTAAGGAAGGATAACGCAGGATATTAATGATATCTTATACAGAGTGCTTCACACAACTGGAAGAGGCTGTATCTCGTAAACTTTTGGGAATAGAAAAAAATGTTATAAGTGAAAGTTGGATGGTTTTAGATGGTGCATAACGTGCAACCAATTTTATGCACTTTTGTGCATCGGTGTATCAGAGAAATGCAACTGCACTTTTCTTAGAAACGGAAACTTATACTTTTGACGACACAGATCGATGCAGTTTCTCGTGCTCTACAAAAAAGTATTAACGTATTTATGCCCTAAACTTCTTCGTTAGGAAGTTATCGATGGTAAAAGTTACCTGAACTATTTCTGTCCCTCAGCAAGTATCTACGTTATAACAGATGTTCAAACTGTTAGGAAGTTATCGATGGTAAAAGTTATTCAAACTATTTCTGTCCCTCGGCAAGTATCTACGTTATAACAGGTGCTCGAACTATTCTCCATTGCAGTCCAAGCACTTTTCTATCTTCCTCTTGACGTTTCGCAATACATTATTTATGTCTCAAAATTAGTAAAGGGGTGCGAATACACTATATCTTTTACAGATCCCCATAAAAAGAAGTCAAGGGGTGTGACATCCGGCGATCGCGGTGGAATCTGTAATAAATAAATTGTATTCACAGCTTTTTACTGATCTTGAGGAGCTCCAACAACTTTTACCATCGATTACTTCCTAACGAACAAGTTTAGAGCATAAGTACGTTAATACTTTCTTGTAGAACACAAGAAACTACAGCAATCTGTGTCGTCAAAAGTATAAATTTCCATTTCTAAGAAAAGTGCAGTTTCATAGGAAATAAATTTTGCGAGGACCAACTTTGTCAGGTGGCATATTCAGGGCCGGTTACATAATTTGTGGAGCCCGGTGCAAAGAGGTATGCGCGGTACTTGTTCAAAAAGTAGAAATAGTTCGGCTGACTTTTACCATCGATAACTTCCTAACGAAGAAATTTAGGGCATAAGTACGTTAATACTTTTTTGTAGAACACAAGAAACTACATCGATCTGTGTCATCAAAAGTATAAATTTTCATTTTTTTAAAAAGTACAGTTGCATTTTTCTGGTGCATCGATGCACAAAAGTGCATAAAATTGGTTGCATGTTATGCACCATCCGAAACCATTTAACTTTCACTGATAACGTTTCTTTCTATTCCCAACCGTTTAGGAGGTACATCCTCTTCCAGTTGCCTGAAACACCCTGTACATAATAAGTATTTGATAAGAAATATTATCAAAATAGTTAAAAGTTTCAAACTCTTCAAATAACCCCATGCCTGAGATTAGTCCAAACATCTATAAAAAAAAAAGATAATTACGCTCTTATAAATAGTTGTATTTCTCAATATTCAACTTTTACAGCAATTGACATTATTAAATGAATTTGCCTCGATCTAATCAATATTAATTAATTGAACAATATATGCGAGTTAATAAACAACTGCAGTGCGTACCAAAAATGATCAGATTCCCTAAAAACGCTAAAAATAAAACAAGATTTAGAAAAATTACTTGAAAAGATCTAATCAACTCCAATTCAATCAACTCCAAAACAATTGTTCCAAACAACCCATCACCCTCGTTGCAAATATTTAATTGTGCAGAAAACAAACTAAATCTTGTATTTAACACTTTAAAATCAACTATATATATTCATAATTGCGATTACGTAAATTGCAGAGAAAAAGGAACAATAGTTTCCCATTAATAAACACCATAAGAACAGTTCGAAAATTGAGATTTTGTATTGCAAAAGCAATACGCCTAAATAAAAACGTTTCAAACGGTCCAATCGGTGATATACACCAACCAACATGACTAGACATGAAATATTTATAGTCACATAGTTTCGATTGACTCTAGCCTCCCAACAACGAGTAAACGCAAAGAAAAATGAAATAAATTAAGATAAAATACAGCCAGGTAACATCCAATACAAAAAGCAAAGAAAGAAAAAGGGAATAAAAAATATTTTAGTCGCTAACGCGAAGCACGCAGCACATCAAGTATAAAAATTAATGTTTCGTTCTATTATTATTTGTATTCCTCGCACGTTTCTTCTTTTATTTCAGGAACACATGGAGTACTTGTACGACGCAGTGATCACGTACTTGAAATACTTCGAAACGTACGCGAACTTCACGTGAACGATTCCCGCGTTAATCGATCATTCGATCCGTAGCGCAAATTGAATTCGATCGATCCTTTCGAGTCGCGACTGCTTTCCTAATACGAGTAACGTTCGACCCATAAATTACACCGTTACGCAATTACTTAATACCGAAATTCTCAACTCTCGATTATCCTATTTTCCTTTACTTTCCTGTCTCCCAAGGCAAGCAACTTTCATTCCCACGAACGCTATCACGATTTATCATAATCGTATGCAGCAACGACCCTGCCGCGCCAGGATTCCCCCTGAACCGGTGCCGCATAAATTGCACACACGAAGAAGCGTCTTCGTCTCGTTAAGTAATCGTAATAACAGTTAACAGGAGCATAAAAGTTTTACGTCGACTTCCAAGCATCGATCTCAGTCCTTAATGCAGCCACGGTCATTTACGAAGCGAGCGATGGTTCAAAAGGGTATTGCGAAACTTCGAAGGCGGTTCGCCTAATTTCATTCGTCTTCCTCTCTACCGGAACATCATGCCAGTCGAGACGCGCACGACGACGTCGTTAATTACGATTTTCCCGCTTAACGAACCGGAACGTTCGTTTCCCGACGACGTCCGCCATCATGATGCTAAAAAAAAATGAAATGTAGGTTTAAAAGGTTTAAAACTCTTCAGATCTCGTAAACATTGTACTGTATATGTGTTGTGAGATTATATTTTAATACGAGACTATGTATTTATTTATATAATATTTGTCACGCAGCCGTAATTTATCTCTGCCTAATTGTATCTCGTAAGAACTTCACATTTTGAACAGACATTTGTTCAATAAGTTTAGTTTGGCATTAGTGGAAACACGACGTTCTCTTCAAAGATATAAAATTGGAAAGAGTGTTTTCATAAACAACTTACAAAAAAAGTTACAATGTACCTAAAATTTGTCCAATAAGTGTAATTTGGCATTAGTGAAACACGACGTTCTCTTCAAAGATATAAAATTGGAAAGAGTGTTTTCAGAAACAACTTACAAAAATAATTACAATTTACCTACAATTTATGGAATTACTTTTTTTCTTTTAGCAGCGCTAAAATTATCATTAATTACATAAAAATCTAATTTGGAAGTAATGTCTCTTTTAAATTACAATATTGCAAGTAGAGACAACCTTTCGTAGTTGATCTTTTACTTAACTTTAGCTTTGAGAACGATTCTTCAGCACTAGCTACATTTACTGACATTATCGAAATAATTCTTATGACCATGTATTTATTTAAAAATGTACTATTTGTATTGTTAAGGTGTATTCAATATTATTACAAGGAAAATAACTTTACAAATTTAGCGTAATCTTTAAAGGATTAATTGGTTTCATCACAAGGCTCTAGATTTTCTATGTATTAGGTGTAGAAATTAATTTTGTGGATTTGCATTCAGCATACCAGAGAGTTTTCACGAAACAGAGTCGAAAAACGCAATGTAACGCGATCCTCAGCAACTGTTAGCGCGTCAGATATTTGTATCAACAAAATACGCTTGTTTTTTTTCGACACGAAATCTGAACGGTTAAGTAAAAATATTTACTCATCATCTCGATACGTAGAATTATCAGCCTTCTAAGTTCTCGATCTGATCTCATAGTGAGATTACAATATTCAATTACAATATCTAATGACCATATTAGATTACAATCAATCCGTATATAAACCTAAGTCTATACCTGATGGTCATCGCAATTTATCTATATATTTGAAATACCCCACAAATTTTACTTATTCTTGTTCTTCTAACAGATTAGAAATATACTTGGAATTTAATAGGTTTAGCAATTAATTCTGTGTTTTTACATTTACATAATTACATTTGCAACTCTAGTTTAAATAAAAATGTGTACTGGTCACTTGGTTACGTACTAGCGTTCATATTAATAAAACACATAGAATTGTTTTGAAATGCGTGACTGAGGAAAAATTAAAAGTTGTATGATTTTTCTTGATAAATAAATGGTAAGTTTAGCTTAGAAAGGCACAGAGTTAATTTCTACAATTAATACACAGCCACTGTGCGCAATTAAGAGGGGAGTCCGGTCCAGCTAATGTATTTTTCTAATGCATATAATTTCCAGACATAATTAATTTTTGTTATTGAAACTTTTTTTACACATAAAGGGACGTTCAAAGAAGAAAATTTGACAGTGTAGATTTAATTTGAATGTATACATACAGTGGGTGTAGAAAGTATTCGTACACCGAACAATTTCCAAATAAACTATGTGAAATTGTGATTGATTAACTTTTTCTTTATAAACAGTGATATTCTACATATTCTTGGAAATCTTTAGAGTAGATACACTACGAAAAGATTAGTTATTTTGTAGAAGTGAGAAATCAACAAGAAAAAAGAATAAATCGATAGAAATACAGAAGCAATAAGTGTTCGTACAAGTGTCAAATTTTTAAAACTTCATTTTAAAAAAACGAAATTTACATTAATTTATAAATAATTAATACTTCGTGGGTTTTACTTTCGATTTTATAATTACTACAACTCTTCTAGCCATTAAATTAACTGTCATAAATGTCGATGTTATTCGGGGTGGTATCTTCTTTCATTCCTTTATTAGAGCATTTTTTAAGTCTTTTTTACTGGAAATTTAATGTTTTATAATTCCCACGAAGCAATAAACTAATGTGCTTATGTTACAAATTCTACTGTAAATTGTTCGTCATAAGAACCGTGCGAATACTTCTTGCTTCTATATTTCTACCAATTTTTCGTATTTTCTTGTTAATTTCGCAAATTATATAAACTAGTAATTGTTGTTTGAACTATACTCTAGAGATTTCCGAGAATATGTAGAATACCATTAATTATAAAAGAAAGGAGTTAATAAACTACAATTTCACATAAAAGTTTTTTGGGAAATTGATCAATGTACGAATATATTCTACACCCACTGTATATACGTAGTAATAGTAGTCGCAAGGAAAGGATTCGGTCAAAACGGTGGGATACGTGAAGGCCTAGGAAAACATCTGATAGATAAAATCAGAAAATTCGTTTCTTTAGTAGGTACGTAAAATGCGTATGAACCTCAATTTGCAAAAAAAAATATTGTTAATTGCAAAAATGGCGGCAAAAAACATGAAAATGAACGATACATGTCGGCCGTTATTTCGCAATAACTTTATGCTATAATAATAATTCATTAAGAGTCGAGGTTCATTAGCATATAAACTTAATTACCTTCAATTTAAGCGTTGAATCAAGTGAGTCGGATAAAAATTCGATGAGCTATGCGTCCCACCGTTTTGACAGAATCCTTTCCTTGCGACTACTATATCTATATATGTATACTATTGAAATAAATCAAAATTAAAATACCGTTTCATACTTGGTATGATCGATTGTATCGAATTGTATATTTCAGTTTGTTTATTAAATACGTTGTTGTTTTGTTTTTCCTATATAATTGATTTGCTGCTATTTGCTTGATGTGTTGTATTAATATAATAAAGAGAAGTCATTTGAAATAAATAATATTTCTTTTATTAATATTTAGTGTACAGTTTAATTAGTAACATAATCTAATATATACATTCAAATTAAATCTACTCTGTCAAATGCTCTTCTTTGAACGTCCCTTTATATGTAAAAAAAGTTTCAATAACAAAAATTAATTATATCTGGAAATTATATGCATTATAAAAATACATTAGCTGGGCCAGACTCCTCCTTTAAGTGGGCATTCCACTGTGAACGCACAAAAAAAGCATATTTTCAATCATTTTTTTCTCAGGAACTATTGCATAAAATTGATCGAATGTGTTTCCCCCTTAAAGGTATGATTAAGGAAAGTAAATAAATAATTTTTTGTTGGTAAAAAATATTTTGTCATTTATTTACAAAATAATATGCATGTGTGCAAAAAAAAAGTTAACCGCTGGCGCAGGTGATTTTGGCTCTCCTGGAAATCTGAAACAGAAAATCGAAAAAGTTTATTAAACTATGTCATCACACCTATGGTCGGAACCTCCAAGTAGTTGATATTTTGATTTTTACTTACAATTTCACCTGATTTACGGTACAAAAAAAGTATTTTTCTCTCTTTCACAAAAAACGCTGCCATTTTATTTATCTTCGATGAAATAAATAAGTGGAGGTTCCGACCATAGGTGTGACGACATAGTTTAATAAACTTTTTCGATTTTCTGTTTCAGATTACCAGGAGAGCCAAAATCACTTGCGCCAGCGGATAACTTTTTTTTTGCACACATGCATATTACTTTGTAAATAAATGATGAAATATTTTTTATTTCCTTTCCTTAATCATACCTTTAAGGGGGAAACACATTCATTCAATTTCATGCAATAGTTTCTGAGAAAAAAATGATTGAAAATATGCTGTTTTTTATGGGTTCACAGTGAAATGTCCCCTTAAACAAAACTCGGATAAACCATCGATTTTCGTGAACGAGATCGAAAGAGTTCTTTTCCCTTCCTCCAGTCGCGAGGTTGCGCCTTGGGCCGCTAGAGGGTGCGCCGATAGCGCCGATAACTCGTAATCACGAAAGGTATACGTCGACCTGCTATAAACGTCCATCTCGGCGGATATCTTCACGTGCGTTTCCGTGGTGTTCGTGTGTTGGTGGCTCGAGTGTCAAGTATCGAAAAGGTTTTACGAGGTGTGCCTGTCAGGACGGTGTTTTCGTCTCGTATCGTCGCGAAGAGGAAGCAACCAGCGAGAGTTGGCGAAAGGAACGTGTGTGCTCTCTCACGGCAGCAGGTAAGAATTTTTCATCGTCCACAGTGGCGCGAGTGGAAAGGGCGAGCACGTGTGCCCGTGTGTCACAGTGGTGTGCCACCTTCAATTGCGACACGAGCGAGCCGTCTTCCTCGATCGAGACTGTTTGTTTTGTTTGACAAGATGCGGGACACGCGTGTCACATCTCGTTTCAAGGCCATGGAAGACATATTGGCGCGTGAACAGGAACCATTGAAAAACGGACCGCTCCCGTGGGTGGAAAATCACGATTTTCCGCTCGGTCGGGATTTATTTGTCGCTTTGCATCGGTCGTGTCGTTCGTTCGGTTCGTCGAGTGCGTTCGCTAATAGAGTTTACGTTCGTGCATGCTGCGTCACTCGTGCCCGCTTGTTGTTCCTTTTCTGTTATATAAGGAACACGCTTTGCACGAATGTGCCACCACCATCTTGGCGGTCGCAACGCGGCGCGAAATTTGATTTGATTCGTTGGTTGGCCACGCTAGCGCGCTATGTAAAATTCCACCTAATCAAATTAACACGTCGTGTATCGAAGGCGTGTGAGTTCATCTTTCGCGGAATGCCTCCTGGTGGCGAAAAATATTTAAAACTATCGATTATCAGGACTATCGGTGGTTCGTCTTCCTCGGAAACACTACCGATCTTTGACTTGGACTATCAATAGTTTGCGATAGTATTTCGGTTTTTAGTATGACTGCGGTTGTGTAATAGGTAACGCGAGCGAAATCTACAGGAATTATAATTACAAAACACAGTGTAGTATTAAGGGGGTAGTATGGTCCAACTAATGTATTTTTATAATGCATATAATTTTCAGATATAATTAATTTTTGTTATTGAAACTTTTTTTACATATAAAGGGACGTTCAAAGAAGAACATTTGACAGAGTAGATTAAATTTGAATGTATATATTAGATTATGTTACTAATTAAACTATACACTAAATATTAATAAAAGAAATATTATTTATTTCAAATGACTTCTCTTTATTATATTAATACAACACATCAAGCAAATAGCAGCAAATCAATTACATAAGAAAAAACAAAACAACAACGTATTTAATAAACAAACTGAAATATACAATTCGATGCAATCGATCATACCAAGTATGAAACGGTATTTTAGTTCTGATTTATTTCAATAGTGTACATATATAGATATAGTAGTCGCAAGGAAAGGATTCTGTCAAAACGGTGGGACGCATAGCTCATCGAATTTTTATCCGATTCACTTGATTCAACGCTTAAATTGAAGGTAATTAAGTTTATATGCTAATGAACCTCGACTCTTAATGAATTATTATTATAGCATAAAGTTACTGCAAAATAACGGCCGACATGTATCGTTCATTTTCATGTTTTTTGCCGCCATTTTTGCAATTAACAATATTTTTTTTGCAACTTGAGGTTCATACGCATTTTACGTACCTACTAAAGAAGACAATTTTCTGATTTTATCTATCAGATGTTTTCCTAGGGCTTCACGTATCCCACCGTTTTGACCGAATCCTTTCCTTGCGACTACTATTACTACGTATATACAGTGGGTGTAGAATGTATTCGTACATTGATCAATTTCCCAAAAAACTTTTATATAAAATTGTAGTTTAATAACTCCTTTCTTTTATAATTAATGGTATTCTACATATTCTCGGAAATCTCTAGAATATAGTTCAAACAACAATTACTAGTTTATATAATTTGCGAAATTAACAAGAAAATACGAAAAATTGGTAGAAATATAGAAGCAAGAAGTATTCGCACGGTTCTTATGACGAACAATTTACAGTAGAATTTGTAACATAAGCACATTAGTTTATTGCTTCGTGGGAATTATAAAGCATTAAATTTCCAGTAAAAAGGACTTAAAAAATGCTCTAATAAAGGAATGAAAGAAGATACCACCCCGAATAACATCGACATTTATGACTGTTAATGTAATGGCTAGAAGAGTTGTAGTAATTATAAAATCGAAACTAAAACCCACGAAGTATTAATTATTTTTAAATTAATGTAAATTTCGTTTTTTTTTTAAATGAAATTTTAAAAATTTAACACTTATACGAATACTTATTGCTTCTGTATTTCTATCGATTTATTGTTTTTTCTTGTTGATTTCTCATATATATATATATAATAACTAGAATACTTACGCGGGCTAACTTTACATTTCCAGATAATAAACATTGCTAAAACTCTATTAATTGCGATTTTCGCGCAAAAAGTCATTAGGATAAGTAGTAGAACTCTTCAGTGGGCAAATAAAATTCTACTTATTTTTAATTATTTGTTGCAAACGGCCAACTTCACTTTCCGATAGTTCTTCATCTCGTAACAATTGAAGGCATTATAATCTTCTAGCGCCGAGTTCTTGTTTCTCTTGCTGGAATACAAGTCTCGCTTATCTTGATTTTCTTCAACATTAATTAGTCTCATCTTATCTCTCTGATGGATTTATTTATCGGTAACATTGTAACGTTTTCATGTAAATTTCCACTCGTTACGTTTATTTCAACGGGAATGGAAGCGTTTTTTACATAATCGCGTAAAATGTTGGTAACGATGTGCAACCGTAATTTTTTAACAACTGCCATAACGTGGGTTTACGTGTTCCATAAGCGGGGAACCCAAACACGATACAATACAAAAACAAACAGTAATAGAAATATGTAGTACGAAGAAACTTAATTACAATTGCAAAACTAAAATACACTATCATCTAACGCTGATTTCATTTGAAATTCAAAATTGTGCTGTATCTACACTAAATTAAAATATCCCGGATAAAAATAGCTTTATGTAATTTCGACAGTGAGGACGAATTATTTCAGAATAAATCAACAGAATTTCCTATTGAAAATTACTTAAATACAGTCTAATATAAACACACATAAATAATAAATAATAAATATTTACAGTTTCTTCGAGAAGAAAATAATGTCTTAATATTTCATGAAAAATGGTTTTCGAAATTATTTGAAAAATTATCAGAGAGGGGAAATAGAAAATGTTATTGTGAATATGCACTTCATATTTCGAGTCGATCGGATAAGTAGTTCTGAGAAAAGTTACTTGCCAGATCGAAACAACCGGTTTTCAGAAAAACGCGTTTGTAGTTAAAGGATCGATTACTTAGCACTGAAAGGAGCTCTGCGGAAAACGTTTTAATCTTCGTTAATATTTTCTACTTCGCCTTAGTATTGTAATATTTGTAGTAGAATTTAAGTTATAATTCTTTTCTAAACCAACAAAGAACCAAAATTTATTTATCTTTCGTCTGTTGTTTGAAACTTTATCCGTAATGGGTGTAAATCGTAGTCTCCAATCGTCTCTGCACATTCTCGATCCATTTTCCAACGATAATTTTGAATAATACAAATGATGGAATACTACTTGTGCCAACAACATTTCCAAACGTACTGACCATATCAGTCATTAGTATGAAGCATTGATAACACGATCATCATCTGTTTACGTTATAAACTACTCTGTGAACAGATCAAAATAAAAATTGTACGAATATTTTTGTCAATTTCTTCTTTCTTAATCCAAGTACCCAGGCAGTCGATTCGAACGACGAGCATTTATATCATTATTTCGTAGATTTAACACGAATACCGCAGTGACAACAAAATAACCGAGATTGTTTGCGCAAGGTGCAGACACAAATCATAGACCAGCGTGTTTACATTTCGTCTTTACGAGTCAGTCGCACGCTCGTCGCATTTTTTCGCCGTGATGCATAACAAAATTATCGTCGTCCACCTAATGACCATCTTCAACAATAACCTCGTACTCGCGGCACGCTATTACGCTATGAACGTTTTATAATTTAATCTGCCCTGTCCACTCATTTATCCATTCACAGATCATCCGACCGTGGCATATTTTCCTCCCGCTGACTGGTTAATACGCTTTAAGAAGCGACTTCCCACAATGCGTTCTCTGATCACGTTTCCATTACTAACGAAACGCGTCTACCATCATTTCTTTTTCCCATTTACATATTATGCTGACACTTTCTCAAATCGTCTCAATGTATAAGAGATCTAACTTCTGAGATCTGACTTCTTTAGGGGTCATCCTAAAAAAGAAGGTAAATAATCTGTTAGCGAGGATAACTTGGGATTTACTAGATTCAATTCAGGGTGAATAGTGAGTGATGATTTATTGTTGGCGACTTTGCTTTGTTTCTTTTGTAGGTAGGAAAGGAATGCAGGAACATTGACTGTAGTTTGCTGTGTGGTTGCCTTTCCAATTGAAGAAGGTCTCCATAAATGCACTAGTTCAGTCTCGAGTTTGTGCATTTATGAG